ACACACACACAAACACACACACAGACAACCCCGTAACAATATGCGTTTTGTACTGCTGTTACACACCATAAAACGCATAATAAAAAACTGGAGCGGAATTTGCAAAAAACAACATTTGATTCACCACAGTTCTTCTCAGTAGGAAGGAAAAAACACTGATATCATCCACACATATTATCATGTGTCCGTCAAAGTTCAAATTCCTTCCACATTTCAACAACTCGTGAGAAACTGAGACAGCAAAAAGCGGTTCAAGTGAATAGGCTGTATTTCTGTCAACAGCAAGCAAGAAATCAATCGTTGAAACCGTCGCCAATTGTTTGTACTTTCGATGACTGCTTGAGAAACAAGTTCAAGGCGCTTTTACTTCCTGGATCCAGATATGAATCAGTATTAAAATGGACTGAAAGGGCTAGTTCTCCCGCAGTGGTGAGGCTGACTCAACGGCTGAGGGCCGTAGGCATTTACTTGGATACTGGATTCTCTGTAGATACGAAGTGTAGTACATAAAATTGTTAAAATATTAGAAATTATCATTGAGCACGAAAACTACCCACTGTCCTGTCTGTGTTTACAGCTAAGGGATTAAAAATAAACTGCTTACTCGCATGTTCATCTACAATATAGCAAAATCTCTATTCACACTAATCGTATATGTCAGGGTGAGAAAGTTCGGAAAGCGATCTAATTGGTCAAAGTACAGCGTCACAGACTTGAAATTCTGTGAAACCCCCTATTTCCTTTACTTCCAAAAACCTTTAAAACTTTCCAAAATGCACAAATTTTGTCATCATTTTAATGATTTATGCATAAATCCTGCCTTTTCTTTAGAAAAAAAATCTAATTCTAACAGCTCTTTTTTTGACCTAATAATTTTTTTCTTTAGAAGAAGTTGCAATATTTCTTTAGAAAAATAATCAATAGTACACATCAATCGAGAAGACGATGGGTGCTAACTGAAGGTATGCATTACAGGACCGAAGGACCTGGCATCAGTGTCTCGGAATATTCCAGTAACATCACTAACATGGGATACCCAAACACTGATGGCTGGCAGCTCGGGTGGTCTGGGAAAGCGCTAGTCCAGTGGGAAGTGTTGTTGCTCATCGGTGGTGTGTCATGGAACATATAAATGTACATGAAAAGTTGCAACCGATTCTCTTGCCATCCTGTATAAATGCTTTTCGCCGTTCAAGCAAAGCTTTTTGCTCTTCGCGTTGTTTTGCCACTTCTTCCTCTCGTTTTTTCAATGCTATCGCTTCCCGTTCGGCACGTGTCAGGAATTTTGGCTGCAAACAAAAGTTTGTGTCAGTGTGGAAAAAAAAAACGATAACAGCAATCATAATATTGAGACGGATAGAAAAACATTACTGCAAAGACTGTTACTGCTTGATTTTCCGTTGCTTT